CAAAATACGTTTTAATCCTGCTGCAAAGTACAATTGTATTTTTTCAATTACGTTTACTATTTTTACTATTCATTACAATTATATTTGATCAATTACCTTTACTATTTTTTACAATATATACAGCATATTGCATAATATAAATTTATAACATGTCGTAATGCATTTATAATACAACATATTTTTGATACATACATTTTTCGATTGTTCGCATTCATTTCGTAATCAGATAAAAATTTCTAATTAAAGTAACGATATGTTATTACAATGTTTTCAGCTTCATCTAATAATATTTGGGAGCAACGTTTATTATTTGTTGTGAATTGTTTTGATTTCATGCATAATTCTGTAAGGATTCAAGTTATTGTACTATGCAATTTATTATTTACGCGGTACTCGAAGTTGCTATAATTTAAAGTTATAAGTGAAATGAACAGTTAAAATTTGCAGAAAACAAAACTTACAAGTCGTCGTGTAATTTTGCTTAGTAAATGAAACATATTGCAGTGACGTTTTGCATATCGTGAACATTTGGAAGAAATTATTTTAATCGTTACATATATATCTTTATATTGTGGAATACACTTTTGAAAATATTAACTTTCCTAAAGTGCAATAAAACAGTGTCAATTAAACTAAGAACAAATACGCTTATTCTTTACACACACACAATGTACGTATTGCCTGTATATATGTACAGGATGTTTTATTCTTCATTCATCTACCTAAAGGGGTTTGAGGCTGTTGATTGGAATAGAAAAATGAAAGAAGATTGATAGAAACAGTCTTACGAGTTTTCGAAAATTTTATGATAAAGTATCTACAAGAAAATAGATAATCAATGTCAAATTTTGAAAGGACGAAATTTGTTTTCGTAATAACGAATTTAATAACATTGACATTCCGAACATTTCTACTTTTAGTATACCTTATTTCTTCAGTAGCATTTTCATACAATATTGTTCGAAATATTTTATTCTGATCATTTTACGTACTTTATTTTCATTATTTTTCGTCAGTTAATATTAAAACCAGAGAAAATATTCGGGGAAAAAATTATAATAAACTGGAGGTCACATGCTAATACAGAAAATTACATACTCAAGATTGTTATGAAGGTCGTATTTAAATTATCGACCCTTTATATTTTCATTTCCAAACCGTTATTTTTTATCTAAAAACGAATTCAACGATCTTTATTGTAAATCAAACAAAAATTCTGTAAAACAAAGGGTGTGTTGTAAACTGTACTATAAGTTAGAGAATTTCAGAGTCTTCGTTTTCAAGAAAAAAACTTTTAATAAAAAATATTTTATTATTATTTTGAACGCCTGGTTGTTGAATTTCTCCATAAAGAACATAATGCTATAGATAATTTAATTCATCTTTACATAAATAATACAAATGAAAAATAAACAAAGTTTTATACCTGATGGGTATAAAAATAATTAAAAAATTAACGTGATATCATCATAAATAGTTACAGTAACGTAGATAAATTTATAATTCACGTATACGTGGCCCCTGATGCATTGCAAACTTGTTCCCACAATATTTTTCTCCAGTCCTAATAACTACACTAATATAATATAGTATATTATTTTATATACTATATTTTATATATTATATATTTATATATTATATATTATATTTCACATATTATAATATCAAAATGCTATATTCAATAAATAACAAACATATTCAGCTACGTAGCCAATAGAGTCTATTAGGTTAATCAAATTATCGATCAAATAATCGGATTAGAGATAGGATGAGAAAGTGACAATTCATGTAAAACAGATAGACCGTCGATGGTCTTGAATAATGGATCAATAATAATGGATAAACGTCTTGATAAAGTTGAGGGAAATGGATGTGAAAATGATGTATGTGTTCACGATATACAGGGTACTCCCGAAATCGAGGCACAATCGGCAAAGGAGGTAACTGTACACGAAAGAATAAGTCGAAAATATAGAATAAAAGTTTTTCATACGATACACGATTTCTACGATAACCGCGTTTGAAGATTTGTCGGGTGCGCGTGCTAGTAATGATGATCATGATAATCGTATCATTATTTTTTTATGAATATAAAGGACCTAATCGAATGCTCTGTTACTAAAATTTGAATATATTCAAAAGAGGTATTAGTCACTTTGACCTGTGATTCAATTAGCTAACGTGTTTGTTGACTTACCGTCTCTGCTGCTTGTAAATGCTAAGGTGTCACATAAACATTTGGAATCCGTTATCGCGGAAAAGTATATTCCCATGAGAAAATTGTATTCTTTATTTCTTGTTTATTTTTCTATCTTGATTTACCCTTGTCCCGATTGTATCTCGGTTTCGAGATCACCCAGTATATGTTGTTCCTTGGCAACGTGCCGAGGCTAGGGCGTGGCGTGTGTTTTAAGGATAATTGTGCGCCCTACCGGAAGCAGGAAGCTCGTAAAAGAAGCGTGTAAACCGAGCTGCAATACGGAACTTCCTCCGAGTGACGTTGATGACTTACCCTCCCGCGGTCAGCTCGTTAATCAAGCAGCTGAGCACGAGTTCAGGTGTGAAAAGGCGAACGAGAGAGAGAAAAGACACACATAGAGAAACACATTACGCATAAGTCTTAAACGAAGATCTGTTCATCATCAAATTATGCAATACTCGAACAATTATGTTACAAATGAAATGGAGCCAGTTCTTTACGAAGATAAAGTTCAAAGTTCTGTAACGTTTTTTCGTCTGAAATTTCGCAGGAAAAAATTGTGTTATCTAGAACTTACAGGTAAAATATAAATCACCGTAAACAATAATGGGTGATTTATGTATCATATTTTATGGAAGATTTACTTCACTTGTTAAGCTGAAGGACAGAAAGCATGTTTTATTTCTTAAAAACGCCGAACAAAATAGCAGGAAATATTTTGTATAAGTCTAATTTTTTGAAAAAGATATAACTGTTATATTATTTTGAGTATTGTACAGGTATTTTTGAATAGGACTTGATTAATTATTTACCGTTTGTATCTATTTTAATCACGTTTTCTATTGTCAACATCAGATCTCATTATAATCTACATTTGTGTGTATTCTGAAATCTGCAAGTCATAGTAATGTTTATTAGTATGAACGATATTAAATATATGTCCAAGTATTATTGAAGGAATTAAAAGTCTTTTCATTGTGACATAATATAAACATTTTTAATATTTCATATAATATATAGAATGAATCTTCTTAAAATCTTTATAATCACATTGCATGTATCCAAAATATTTGATGCAACTACGGAACAATATCAATAAGAATGAGAGCAGTTGTTTTCAGAGGTAAACGAAATTTCAGATGAGAAAACATAACAGAATTCTTTGATTGTTATTATTATAAAGAACAAGCACATTTATTAATGCAACGAGATTTTTAGAAAAGTTGCATAAAATTTCAGTTAAAATTTAAAATAATTGTCAGTGTTGGGTGAAGAATAGTTATATAGTTCTCCAAGATCTATTTAAAATCTAATTTTGAAACATTTATATATATAATTACCTTAATTATATTTCATCAATAATGAAGAATTCAATGC